CTTTCTTTCTTTCTTTCTTTCTTTCTTTCTTTCTTTCTTTCTTTCTTCACTCACTTTACATCCCAATCATAGATCATAGTCTCCTCCCTTCTCTCCTCCAAGTGGCACCCTCCTTCCTTCTTCCCCTATACCTCCTCCTCTATTCCTCAAAAAAGGGGAGCCCCTTTCCCTACCAACCCACCACAGCTTACCAAGTCACATCAGGACTGAACATGTCCTCTTCTTCTGTGGCCTGGCAAGGCAGCTTCTCCAGAGGGAAGTGATCAAAAGGCAGGTAACAGAGTCCATGTCAGAGACAGCCACCACACCCCTTACTAGGGAACCCACGTGAAGCCTGAGCTTTCCATCAGCTACACCTGTGTAGGGGGTCTAGGTCTAGTTTATCCTTGAATGGTGCTTCAGTCTCCGCAAGCCCCTCTGGACCCTGCCTAGTTGGCTCTATTATTGTGGATTCCTGTTCCCTCCAAGTCGTTCTGTCCTTTTCTCCACTTTTCCACAAGATTCCTTATGCTTTGTACAATGTTTAGCTGTGAGTCTCAGCATTTGTTTTAATCTACTGCTGGTGGAGCCTCACAGAAGACAGCTGTGCTAGGCTCCTGTCTGCAAGTATAGCAGAATATTATTAATAGTATCAGAGGATGGCTCTCTCCCATAGGGTGGGTCTCAGGTTGGGCCAGGTATTGATTGAACATTCCTTCCATCTCTGCTCTATCTTTATTTTTGCACATCTTGCTGGCAGGGTAAATTTTGGGTCAAAGTTTTTATGGGTGGGTTAGTATTCCCCTCCCTCCACTAGGAGGCCTGTCTAGTTAGAGGATGGCCTCTTCAGTCTCCATGACCCCTGCGACTAGAAGTCTGAGCTAGAGTCAACCCCATATGCTCCCAGAAGCCTACTCTGTCCTAGGTCTCCAGCTTGTCTTAGAGATGCCTCTGCCCATGGTTTCTTTTCTCTCTACAGGCCCTCTGTCCTCCCACCCCCACTCTTGCCAGATACGATCTCCACCCTCATTTCTCTCCATGCTCCCTCTCTGACCCTGTTTCCTCTCTTCAACAACTTCTGCTGTCTATTTCCCCTTCTGAGTGAGATTTAAGCATCCTCCCTTGGTCCTCCTTGTTTAGGTCTGTGAATTGTAGTGTTTAGCCTGTACTGTATGGCTAAATTCTGCTTATGAGGGAGTATATACCACAAGTGTCTTTCAGGGTCTAGGTTACCTAGATGATCTTTTCTAGTTCCATTCATTTGTCTGCAAATTTCATGATTTTCTTGTTTTTAATAGCTGAGTAGTATTCCATTGTGTAAATGTGCCACAGTTTCTTTTTTCATTCTTCAGTTGAGGGACATTGAATTCATTAGCACAGAAGACAATTTCCTGAACAGAATATCAACAGCTAAGATCAACGATGAATAATAAGAACTTCTTGAAACTGAAAAGCTTCTAGAAAGCAAAGGACACTATCAATAGAATGAAATGGCAGTCTGCAGATTGGGAAAAGATCTTCTTTAATTCTACATCTGACAGAGGGCTAATATCCAAAATATATAAAGAACTCAAGAAACAAAACACCAGCAAACAAAATAATCCAGTTTTAAAAGGGGGGTACAGAGCTAAACAGAGAATTCTCAATAAAGGAATCTCAAAAGGCCGAGAAGCACTTAAAGAAATGTTCAACATCCTTAGTCATCAGGGAAATGCAAATCAAAACAGTTTTTTTATACCCATCAGAATGGCTACGTTCAAAAACTCAAGTGACAGCACATACTGCAAGGATGTGGAGAAAGGGGAACCCTCCTCCATTGCTGGTGGGAGTGCAAACTTGTACAACCACTTTGGAAATCAATCTGGAACTTTCTCAGAAAATTGGGAATAGCTCTATCTCAAGACCCAGCTATACCACTTCTGGGCATATACCCAAAAGATGCTCCACCATCCAACAAAGACATTTGCTCAACTATGTTCATAGCTGCTTTATTTGCAATAGTCAGTAGGCTTACTTTTAATGGTTATCTTTTTATTAAAAGAAAGTAAGTTACCCAGACCAGCAGCTATTTTTTAATTGAAAAACTATTCAGATTATAAAAATGACAACACAGTACAACTCAATGTATCCATCAAAAATTATCTATAATAAAATAACAATAGTGATATAAATAAAATGGAGTTTTAATCAGTCTGCTTGGTTAATGCTATGATGATGACATGATGATGATCATGTCGATGATAATGATGATGGTTTTAAGACAGGGTCTCATCATGTAGCACTGATGCTCCTAGAACTCACTATGTAAACCAAGCTGGCTTTGAACTCACATACATCTGCCTCCCAAGTGCTAAGATTAAAGGTGTGTGCCTCCATACCCTGCAATGCTTTTACTATTAAAACACACACACACACACACACACACACACACACACACACACACACACACAAGTTGGGGCTTTTGAGATGGATCTGCAGGTAAAGGTGCATGTTGCCAAGCCTGACCACTCAGACACATATCAGAAGGAGATAAATGACATGCAAGTTGTCCTCTGACCTGCATATGCTTTCCATGACATGCACATGTATACACAGACAGACAGTACATGATTGTAATACCAGCACTCTGGAGCTGAAGCAGGTGAATTTCTTCAAGACTAGTACATGCCATAAAATGAGAACCCAACTCTGACAAGAGGGGGAAAGAAATAATAATCTTTTCAAATTCGTTCAACTATTAGACAGGACGCGAGCTTAACTTTGTAGTTGTGGCTAAGTAATCTGACTTAAAGAGTCTAAGCTTCCCTTCTCCGGTGTAGTTTCTCTCAGGTGGCCTGTCCGCTCAGCATGGGAAGCTAAAGGCCACTCACAGCCATCGCCACTCCCTACCCATCCCCAACAGTGTATTCAAATCCAATGTCATAAGTTACTTATTAAACACAAGAGATATTGTGCCCTGAGAAATCCATTATAAACTTTGTCTGTGGGAGGACCAATCTCTTCCTGAAGAAACCCGGAGCAGCCATCTCAAAGAAGAGGAAATGGGGAACCATCATGTAAGTGCTCGCTGCCCTTGGGAATCAGTTTTCTGTTTGGTTAGCCTGTGAAAGAGTTCATCTGTGAACTCATGATTGATACCCTTCCTCATGCTTCATTGCTTTGATGTTCCCCTTGCTGCAAGCATTAGAAATAGTGTGTCATGCTTATTAAGTGTATTTGGAATGCATGTCTCTCCTGCCGGGCAAAAATCTCGTAAGAGGGGCCGTAAAGAGGTGTTTAAAATAACACAATAAAGACTGCCTTGCGGAGAGCAAATAGCTAGCCTATATTTGTAGAATGTATAAGCAAAGCTTCTAGCTTATGGCAAAGTTGTACAAACCCTCATACACTATTCCTAGTCTGTGTGACAGATGAGCTCCTGCTAAAAATACCAGCAAAGCAAGGTAAAGATGTTCCTGTGCAACCATGCCATTTAGACCACAAGGTGGAAATCCTCCAGTGTTATTGCCAAACACCCAGATATTTGCAGTTGTTCATGGAATTGATTAAACGTTTCATTTTTCACTTCTGAAACATCTAGGCTTACAAATAGCATGTCTGAAAATGACTCAAAACTGACCAAAACAGTTACCATTTGGTATCTTTGGTGCATGAGGTGGAGAAGAACTGAATCAGAGTTTTATGCTGAGATATGAATATCTGAAGCTAGTCCAGTAAGAATTTGAATGGGGTCATGTGCAGTCACTGTAGTTTTTCATGGTGAGATTTCATATACACCATATACTTAATATAGATATTTATAGAACATGACACTAGGGGTGAAGGGAGTAAAGATCCAAATTTTTCTGCAAACTAGCCTTGTTTGTAAGGACTTGCCTTTACAGGTATGAAAGTATTGTTTTCAGAGGGTTGTTAATTTTAAATCATATGTAAATAGCCTTTTCTAGCTAGCCAAGATTATGAATTATTTATTCACTGTCTTTCTCAGGAACCAAAAACTAATTATATTATAACTTTTATAAACAGACACAAAAGATTTCAGGAGACCACTGGCCCAATACCTGTACTTTGTCCCTTGAAAAGCCACCCCTGACTGGGGCAGTTGCCTTTCGAGATTGGAGCAGAATTTTTATGGGTTTCATTTTTTAATCCAGAGGCCATTCCTTACTCCTCTCAAAAGGCAATCAACAGTTGTCTCCAGGAGACATCATCCCACCCTTGGTAGCCTTACACCCACTCAACCACAGCCCATAAGCATTTTATTTTCCTTTCAAATTACAAACTTTCTCCCAGATGTGAGATCACCCAGCTTTAGTCTTTTGCTTCCGGCTGAAAAACCTCATTATCAGGAATGACTTGAAAGTAGGAATCTCTCTCTCTCTCTCTCTCTCTCTCTCTCTCTCTCTCTCTCTCTCTTGCACACGTGCCCTGGGGATGTGTTCTGAGAAATTTATGATTTTCCCAGGTATTAAATGATGATGATAACCTAAAACTAATCATATAGCACCCTGGATCACAAGGATGAGCAAGTGCTAGCACGTTAGTTCAGTGCCTGCCTTTCTGTGTATGTGTGTGTGTATTTAGGTTTTTATTTAGTTATCCACTTTACATCTCAGTCATAGCCCCCTTTTCCTCTTCCCACATTTCCTCTCCTCTGCTCCTCCCTCATCACCCTATCCCCCC